CCGCCTCATAATACAGTTTTATATCTGAGAAAAATTGTTCCTGGGTCATGAATTAAAAAGAAACAACTGCAAGCCAGCATTTTCCGTGGTCAATCACTGAAAATGCTGGCTTGTTCGTGTTTCTCTGTTTTTTTCTGGTGTGGCACTGTGGGCTAATGCATCAGACTGTAAAGTCGTTTGAACTGCAACATCAGTGGTTTAAGCACACTAGCTGCACCTTGAAAACCCTACACAGGGTCACTATGGGTCAGAATTGACTCGCCGGCACTTAACAACAACATCACAAACTTACCACTTCAACTGGTATTGTGAGCTGAAGATCAGAATTTAGATGCCATGTCAGTACAAAATAGAAATTGAGTTAGATTGGATGTTAGCCCAGCAGTTTACTGGGCTGGGGCAAGTCGCTGAATTCTCGGCGCTGGTTTCCTCACTCGTGAAATAAGAACCTTATTAGTACCCACCTCGTGTGACTGTTGGCGCCACTGAGTCAACTCAGAATCATTTCAGCCCCATATACAACATGATTCTCACTATGCAGTCCCTAGGCAGCCTTATGATCACTGGCATGTGTGACGTGTCCCTTGGCCTTCCAGCGCTCTCTGACAGTATACTGTTGTGACACATAGGACTTTCTTATTTTGGGAAGTAGATTGCCAGGCCTTTCTTTTTAGTCACTCTTGGTCTGAAAGCTCTGCTGAGACCTGTCCAGAATTAGTGACCCTGCTGATACATGCATCAGCACCATAGCAGCAAACAGGTCGTCTCAGTACAAGAAGCTTACAGGTGGTGGCGGACCTACTTTGTTGTTACTTGTCATGGAGACAATCCTAAATCATGGTATTAAATCAAACTTTCTATAAAAAGCACTGAGGAATCCTCTATAGGTAGTCCTTAGCACATAGTAAGTGCTCAGTAAATGTTGCCTAGTACTGAGCATGCTTAAACCATAAAATACTGTATTTACATTAAAGAAGAATTCTGGTTTTATAGAAAAATTTATTTTGGTATAGGGTTTATGATAGGTTGAAATTAACAAGTATCTCCAGTTTAGAAAACATCTATTGTGGAAAATAAGGTATCTACACAAAAATCCCTGTATTTCTATTGTTGTGATGTAATATTCTTAAAATTATCATCTTTGAAGAATTAACATTTTTTTAATGTTAATTAGTCCTTTGAAAAACCTCGAGCATGTTATTTGTTCTTTTTTTAGACTACATACCTAGATTCAATGACATATAAAATTTTAATGGAGTAAAGATCTCTGATGGTAAATAATTTATTTTTTGATACATTTGGATCAGTTCCCACCATTGGAGAAAGAGATGAAATAGATCCTTCCTTGGATCTATTTATAAGCTTGTTATACTCTAGTTTAAAAGCAGGTGATGAGACAAGGACAAAATATCTTTCCCCTCCTGTCTTGTTTCTAACTACAAATTTTAACAATTAAAATGCAATCATACCCTTTAGACATTACAGTGAACTGTTGATATATGACTTGTGTGGTTTTTTTCACTAGAAGTGTTTCCTCTCACCACTCTGTAGAATATGTAGGTAGATGGGTTCTGATACTTTGCAGCAGGGGAGTCCTCCAAACCTAAAAACTAACGTCAATGTAGGGCTTCACCTAACAAAACACAGTTTTTTAGGTGGTGGTGGTTGTTAAGTGCCATCAAGTTGGTTCTGACTCATAGTGACCCTGTATAGGGTTTTTGAGGAGCGGTTGGTGGGTTTGAACCGCCGACGTTGCAGCTCAAACTGGCCTTTCAGTCCAGCGCATTATCCTGCAGTGCCACACGGACTCCATTTTCTAGCTCAGTTGCCACTTACTGAATTGTCTAGGGTTGCCATGAGTCGGACTGACTCAACAGCACTTAACAGCACCAACAGCTGTGTTCCTAGTACCTAAAACAGGACCTTTGGTTGCTCCTAGCTCTGTGAGAGATACTATACGCATTTGTAGTTATGGAAATGGGATTGAAGAATTTAAATAACTTGTACGGCTAATATGTTGCAGAGTCAGAATTCTAACTGGGCTCTGACATGTACACTCTACTATTCTATCACGTATGCCACATTGAGGTCCCAAACTGAATCTTAACAACATCTTTACGGTTTTGAAGAATTTACATACTGACCTGAGCGTGAATGCATACAAGAAAAAGACTACATCAAAATGTGAAATGGGCAGCGTTGGATTTATGGATGATTTCATTGTTTTTCCTTTGTGTTTATCTGTATTTTCTTCAAAAATGGACATGTATGTATCATTTTGTCATAATTTTTTAAATGCTGCATATTGAATTTGTCGTAATTGAGAGATGACTTATTTTTAATTTGTTATTGTGTTGTTGTTTTTTTCTAGATCAATCAGCCTTAAATCCTCTATGGAAATACAATCACTATGACGTGGTGGTTGGCGTGTTATCCGCTCGCAATAACCATGAACTCCGAAATGTGATACGAAACACCTGGTTGAAGCATTTGATTGCACACCCAGAATTAAGTCAGCGGTAGGTTTTCTAAGTTGACACCCTGCTTGGTTTCTTGAAATAAGAATTCTGAGAAGCTTATCTTAGGTGGTGGTGGTTACTGTGCGCTCTCAAGTTGTATAGGGTTTCCAAGAGCAGCTAATGGGTTTGAACTGCCAACCTTGTGGTTACCAGTCCAGTGCATCTCCTGTAGTACCACACCAGGGCTCGATTTGTCTTGGGTAATCAGTTACTAAGTCTGATGTGTGGCCTCTGGATTATGGGGAAAATGGCCATTTCATTTTGCTTTTCTTCTGCATGTTGTTGAAGTTAGTGCATCAGTTCTGACTTACGTCATTTCTGAGGAGCAGCTGATGGACTCGCACTGCCTAATAGTTGAATCCACAGTAAATTTAACCGACGTTTCAAGGCAGAAGATAGTTGGAGGGGGGGAGTATAGCATACGTAGTGTTTGTAGAAACCCGATTTTGTTTATTTTTGTTTTGATTGAGAAGAGCAATTTTAAAAAGGGTTTTATATAGTTCTCTGCTGAGGTTTGTGTCTAAATATACCTCTCATGAACTTCATAGAGCTGCATTTAAAGTCTTACATTCCCATAGTGTTTTTTAGTCTCATGATCTCGCTGTGTAATGTGCCGAGTTTTTCCCTGACAGCCCTTCCCAAGCTGAGCTTTGGAAACATGGCTCATGTTAACGGTAGATGAGTCACTTATTGGTTAGAAGCCCAAGGCCTTAGTCTGTCATCAGTGAAACTAGTTTCTAAAGATGATGTAGTTGACAGGTCAGTGAAGAGAAGACACACAGGTGACAGACAGAGTAGGCCCTCTCTGCATTACATTCAACTGGCACTTTTGTTACTGAGGGAATACTGAGTGAAAACATAAATTGCAGTTGTGGATTTTCTTGGCACCAGTTGTTGTTCTTGTTAAATACTGTGGAGTCAGTTCCCACACATAGTGACAAATCTTTACAGGAGCGGAAAGCCTCATCTTTCTCGCACGAAACAGCTGGTAGTTTTGAACTGCTGATCTTGAGGTTAGCAGCCCAATTCGTAACCACTGTGCTACCAGTAGTGAGC